TTCACCATGTTGGCCAGGATGGTGTCAAACTCCTGACCTCAAGTGATCCACCCCCCTCAGCCTCCCAAAGTGCTGGGAGCACTGAGGTGTGAGCCTCAGTGCCCAACCTACGTTGTATACTTTCAGTGTATACAAGTCAGTGGGTTTTAGTACATTCATTTGTGAAATATCTCAAAATACAACTTTTTTGAAAAAGCTCTGCAGGGGAAGGATGTGCAGCAAGTTAGAGGAGCAAAGTGCTGAGAACGTGGTGAGAAATGGGAGCTGGCATATCACAGAAGTCTGTGAGCTCAGGAAGGAGGTGATCTGATTCGTTTTCAAAGGAGAGCTTTGGCAGCTGCTGGGTGTGTGTGTGTGTGTTCACGTCTATGAATTTTAACAAATAACCAATTATTCACAGAAATCAAAGCCCATTAATGGATGCATGGATAAACACAATGTGGTCTGTCCATGCAACGGACTATTATCCAGTCCATAATACAGAATTAAATTCTGATCCACGCTACAACATAGATGAACCTTGGAAACGTGATGCTGAGTGAAAGAAGCCAGACACAAAAGGCCACATGATGTATGATTCCATTTCTGTGAACTGTCCAGAATTTGTCAGAACAGGCAAATTCAGAGACAAAGTAGATTCGTGGTTGCTTAGGGCTGGCGTGGGGACGAGGATGGATGGGGAGCAACAGCTCAAGGGCACGGTATTTATCTCTGTGATGATGAAAATGTTCTAAAACTAGGTGATGGTTGCACACATCTGTGACTGTACAAAAATTGAATCGTACACTTTGGGTGAAATGTATAGTATGCGAATGATATCTCAATAAAGTTGTTTAAAAAGCAATATTTCCCTCCATTCTCGGAATTCTGTGTATTGGTCTCCTAGATAGCTACAGGGTGAGAGGCAGAATTCAACTTCCCTGCTTAGATTCTAAAACTGGGATTAAAACGGTGAGATGAGACTAGAAGGCAACTTTCATCTCAGGTCTGCGTGAGAGCAGAGCTCAGGGCATCCTCTAGGGGGCGCGCTAGAGCAGCAGTCCTGAAAATGTGGTCCCTAGAACAGCAGCTAAGTACCGGTGGGAACTTAGCAATGCAAACTGTCAGGTCCACCCCACACCAGCCGAATCAGCCGCTCCTGGGGTGGGGGCCTGGCAATGTGTGTGTTTACAAGCCCTCCTGGTGATTCTTGTTTTTTTTTTTCTTTTTCTTTTTGAGATGGAGTCTTGCCCTGTTGCCCAGGCTGGAGTGCAGTGGCATGACTTCTGCTCCCTGCAACCTCCACCTCCCAGGTTCAAGTGATTCTCCTGCTTCAGCCTTCCAAATAGCTAGGATTACAGGCGTGCGCCACCGCGCCCAGCCAATTTTCATATTTTTAGTAGAGACAGGGGATTTCACCAAGTTGGACAGGCTGGTCTTGAACTCCTGACCTCAAGTGATCCACCCACCTTTGCCTCCCAAAGTGCTGGGATTACAGGTGTGAACCACCTTGCTTGGTCGTCTCCTGGTGATTCTGATGGGTGCTTAAGTCTGAGAACCACTGTTCTCCAAAGGTATCTGTCTCCATTCTCTACCCACAGACCTTCCTAAGCTAGGAGTCCCTGCCCATAGCCAACAGCTGTGCCTGGCTTGCTCTGGCCGAAACCTGAACCATGGGGCTGTTTTCAGATTAAGCACAGCCTGGTCTGAATCTTCTGCCTTGGGAAGCCTGGGAAAGGCCTTGGAGTCAGCCTCTGCAGGGGCACGCACCTGTTGCCTCCCTGAGAAAGTCACCTCCTCTGTGCCCTTCCTGTTGATGGCAGCAGGAAGCCTGGGGTGTGGCCCAACTCTTTAACTAGTCTCTAGCGTCCGCTGGCTGTGTGCTCAGAGCATGCTCTGAGCATGGCCTCATGCTCTATTCAGATTGGATCCTTTTACCAGGCATGCTGCAATAGTGTGATTCATGCCCCAGGGGCCCCGGCCCCACTCTTGCAGGCATCCAAAGGTGCTAAAAATATGTAACTCCTAAATGTGGTTCTGTATTTCTGACTGTACCAGTGTTGTGGGCCTTTTTATGCTCCAAGCTGAAATTCAAGAGGCCTGGATTCCAATATAAGGCCCATGATTAATGGGCCTCCAGCAAGGCCTCACTCAGCATCTCCTGTATTTAGATGAGGCCTAAATCAAGTCTCTGTGATGTGGACCGAGCACGGGGCTGTGAGTCAGGGAGTATGAGTTGTAGCCTTGGCTCTGTCACATGCACCTGGGCCAGGGCTTCATCTCATTCAATTTCAGTTCCTCACACTACGGGATAAGATGGTTGGAGATTAGTGCTCCTCTGGGTGTGATCTGCACAGCCCTGGTCCACCAAGCAGCTGCCTAAAGGAGTTTGTGGTAAGGCAACATTTGGGGAGCTCTGGAGATACTTTCCCCCTCTGGGAGACTCACATTAGAGAACACATTCATATTTCTTTTTTGTTTTTTTGTTTTGTTTTGTTTTGTTTTGTTTTGAGATGGAGTCCTGCTCTGTCACTCAGGCTAGAGTGCACTGCAACCTCCGCCTCCTGGGTTCAAGTGATTCTCCTGCCTCAACCTCCCAAGTAGCTGGGACTATAGGTGCCTGCCACCATGCCAGGCTTATTTTTGTATTTTTAGTAAAGACGAGATTTCACCATGTTGGCCAGGCTGGTCTCAAATTCCTGACCTCAAGTGATCAGCCCTCCTCGGCCCTCCAAAGTGCTGGGATTACAGGTGTGAGCCATCGCGCCCAACCAACACATTTGTATTTCACAGCCTCTAAACGTCCATCAAAGACACCTATTTCACTTTTCTTAAACCGGATTTCTCAAGCTTGTTTGGCCTGGCTCCCTGCCCATGTTTTCCTCTGTCATGAATACAGAGATTGTGTATCTATGTACATAAAACTCTAGGAAATCAGCCAGGCGCGGTGGCTCACGCCTGTAATCCCAGCACTTTGGGAGGCCAAGGTGGGCAGAGTTACCTGAGGTTAGGAGTTTGAGAACAGCCTGGCCAACGTGGAGAAACCCCGTCTCTACTAAAGGTACAAAAAAATTAGCCAGGCATGGTGGTGCGCACCTAGAGTCCCAGCTACTCGGGAGGCTGGGGCAGGACAGTCACTTGAACCGGAGGCAGAGGTTGCAGTGAGCCAAGAT